TTGGCAACTGGCTCATATTTATGGCAGTGTCCCAGGGATATGTGATCACCTTTTGCAAACTTCTGATGAGAAAAGTCAATGGGGAAGCCACTTAACAATTATGTTACTAACTTAACTGCAGTAATTCACTTAGCAACTGTGACAAGAAAGATTGTAAAATGGACAAAACATTTAACAACTGTCTTGCTTAACAATAGAAATTTTGGGCTCAGTTGTGCTTGTAAGTCGAAGACTATATGAACCCAATAATGTGCAATGCTATATAAATGAAATGTGTCGATATTTTGTATTTTTTGTACAGTATTTTATATTACTTCTGTCTTATCGAGGCTAGCACCCTCCATGTCAGGCCTGTCCTAGCTTGGAAAAACCAACTCCATTTGTAGGGAAAAGTATAATTTTTACTGAAGCCAATTGGTTACAATATAGCAAAGCCAGATCTGAGGCTTTCCCATGTAACCCTGGTAATTTTTCCTTCTCCCATGCCCTCTCCTCTTGGTCATCTTGGTTGTGTCCAATAAGGTTCCAATTAGGTGTTTTGGTAATAGTTCCACATTTTGGCGTCTCTTTGAATGGGCATTTTGCATTCCATTCCCAGGCTGTGTCTTTGGATTTTTCAACCATTGTCTCTGGATGGCACCTCTGATTCCTGTCATGTCCCCTCCCTACTTTCCCAATTCACCTCCCCGCATTTTATGGCAGGCTGCCATCAAAGCGAAATGAAGCAGCACTGAAGCTGTTTGTTGGCAGATCTGACATTCCAGGTATATTGGACTTCTGCTCACATAAACCACCACAGTTGTCCCAACATAAAAGAAAAGTATATTAAATTTGTGATACAGCATTTAACCTTTGAAAGTATTCATTAGAGCAAATGGGCGAGTTTCTTCTGACTCTCCAAATATTCCTAATCATACCATAAAGCCTGACTCAAACAGCAGAATTATTCTAAATGTTTATTCTCTTAGAAATTGAGATAGAATTAAAAGATTTATAGGAATCGTTGGCAATTCATCTGTCTTCTTCTTTCCATCTTCTCAGGCACAGAGAGACAAACAGTCTTAACTTTAACATTAATATTTAAGCATACATTCATAAAGAGGAAATATCTGTAGTGTAAGTCATCCATTAATAAAGAATTCATTGCCTTATAAATATTATGGCATTTCTGTTTCTGATATGTGGATGCATGTGTTGATATTTTCATGATTTTTTGGTTGATTTGATAGTATATTTTTAGTTTTTGTCAGCTATTTTTCTTTTATTGAAGTGGCTTAATAAGATATGGTAACAAGATATAGTAATAGGCAATGCAGAACATGCAATAAATGGATGGATTCTGGATCAGGCCTAGAAATTACTCTGCCACACCTAAAACTTTCCTTTCTTTCTTTCTTTCTTTCTTTCTTTCTTTCTTTCTTTCTTTCTTTCTTTCTTTCTTTCTTTCTTTCTTTCTTTTTCTTATTTATTTATTTATTTATTTATTATTATATTTTTATTATCTACTTACTTATTTACTTATTTATTTATTTATTTATTTATTTATTTATTTATTTATTTATTTTGCTGCCCTTTCTCCGAGAGTACTCAAGGCGGCTCACAACAATAAAACAGAAAAATAAAACAAAAACTTCGGGTTAAAAGTTACAAATAAAATCCCTAAAATCAATTAAAATCCATTTTAAAAACCCCCATCAGTCCAGGCCGGCCAGGCGAAATAGCCACATTTTTAGTTTGCGGCGGAAAGAGCGAAGGTCGGGGGCCATCCGGAGCTCCAGGGGGAGCTGATTCCAGAGGGTAGGTGCGCCCACAGAGAAGGCCCGCTCTCTCGGGGTCACCAGCCGACACTGTCTGGCTGACAGCACCCCGAGTAGGCCCTCTCTGTGGGAATGCACCGGGCGATGGGGAGCTGTTGCTGGCCGCAGATAGTCTGCCAAATACCCCGGTCCTAAGCCATGTAGGGCTTATTGAATCTCACACGGAGGGCAACTGGTAACCAATGCAGGTCGTGCAGGAGGGGTTTAACATGAGCGCGTCGGGACATTCCCATCACTATTCTGGGATTCTGGATAGGATTTTGGCTCCCAGAGGTAATTCACTATCCAAAATTCACCAATCATAAATAGTGGGTGTCACTTCATAGGATTCTAAAATAATAATGCAAAATTTCAATCACCTAAGAATTTGATCCTTACTTCAAGGAATGGAAGACAAAACTAAAAGCCTGATTATAAATAGTTAGCATATGAGCTATTCAATAGTCATGAATAATAATAATAGCGACCACATGTTTATTGGACCCGTGCCCTTCCTGGCTAGTGCTGGCTACCCGGGAGGTTACACGTAGCTGGCTCCAGAGAATTATTAACACTTCTCTGAGCGAGGGATTCTTACCTCCCGCCTTGAAAGAGGCGTTGGTGAGACCCCTCCTTAAGAAGCCCTCTCTGGATCCGGCTGTTTTAGCAAACTACCGTCCAGTCTCCAACCTTCGCTTTTTAGCGAAGGTTGTCGAAAGTGTGGTGGCACGACAGTTCCCACAGTACCTGGATGAAGCTGTCTATCTAGACTCGTTCCAGTCCGGCTTCAGGCCTGGATACAGCACAGAAAAAGCATTGGTCATGTTGGTTGATGATCTCTGGAGGGCTCGGGATAAGGGATGTTCCTCTATCCTGGTCCTATTAGATCTCTCAGCGGCTTTTGATACCATTGATCATGGTATCATGCTACACCGGTTGGAGGGGCTGGGAGTGGGAGGCACCATATTACGGTGGTTCTCGTCCTACCTCTCTGACAGGTCGCAGTCAGTGTTAACAGGTGAACAGAGATCGACCTTGAGGCCCCTTATTTGCGGGGTGCCACAGGGGTCGGTCCTCTCGCCTCTCCTGTTCAACATTTATGTGAAGCCGTTGGGGGAGATCATCCGTGGTTTTGGGGTGCGATGTCATCTGTACGCTGATGACACTCAGCTGTACATCACCACCACAAACCACCCCAATGATGCCCTTGAAGTGATGTCCCGGTGCCTTGAGGCCGTACGGGTCTGGATGGGGAGAAACAGGCTTCGACTCAACCCTTCCAAGACTGAGTGGCTGTGGCTGCCGGCGTCCCAGTACAGCCAGTTAGTCCCATCACTGACTATTGGGGACGAGTCATTGACCCCCACAGAGAAAGCTCGCAATTTAGGCATCCTCCTGGATGCACCACTGACTTTAGAAGATCATATAACAGCCATGGCCAGAGGAGCTTTCTATCAGATTCGCCTGATTCGCCAATTGCGTCCCTTTCTAGACCGGGACTCATTACGCACAGTCACTCAAGCCCTCATCATTTCCCGACTTGACTACTGCAATGCTCTCTACATGGGGCTCCCCTTGAAGTGCACCCGGAAACTCCAACTGGTCCAGAATGCGGCCGCGCGAGTAATTATGGGAGCAACATCGTGCTCGCATGTAACACCTCTTCTACGCGAGCTGCACTGGCTTCCGGTGGCCTTCCGAGTGCGCTTCAAGGTATTGGTTCTTACCTTTAAAATGCTCCATGGCTTAGGACCTGAGTATGTCAGGTTTCGTTGCTATCTTAAATAAACTTCATTCTCAAATGCAAAGTCTCTAATGAATCTTTTTTCTTTATTTAAGAATAGAAAACGACATGCCTGAACTCTGGTGCAGCCAAGATTGGCACCTCCTTCCAAACCCCTCCCTTTCCGTTCTTCAACCCAATGTCTCATTGGCCACCATGCAGATCCATCTCTTCGTCCCATGCACTTTCTTTTCACAGGAATTTCCCCCCTCCCTCTGTTGCCCACGTAACGCTATCTGCTGAAGAGCCAGGAACTAGGTGAAAGTTCATCCCAGCATTAAAGCAAGTCTTTCTGTGTCTTTCATTGATTTCATGTCAGCGCTGAAAGAGATCATAATTTGGAACGCTGACAGAGTACTTACGAGACCACCTGCTGCAACCGATAACTTCCTACCAACCAATACGCTCTCACAGAGTAGGCCTACTCATAGTACCATCATTAAAACAATGTCGTCTAGTAGTTGCAAGGGAGAGAGCCTTCTCTGTGGGGGCACCTACTCTTTGGAACAAAATACCCCCTGGATACGAATAATCTCAGATCTTCGCACTTTCCAACGTGCCCTGAAGACCTTTCTGTTTCAACAAGCAGGGCTAGCATAAACATCTAAATTCTATGCCAAGGTCTTAGCAGATACACCAAGTTGACTCAATTTATTATTTACTGTTTATATATATATAAAATATTATATGTATATGAAATCTTAATCTGTTCACCGCCCTGAGTCCTTCGGGAGAAGGGCGGTATAGAAATTCATTCAATCAATCAATCAATCAATCAATCAATCAATCAATCAATTCCAATCTTTGTGGTTTTGTTTGTGTGAAGCCCACTAATCTGAATGGACGTATTTGTTGAAAGAGAAGAAAATAAAAACATTGCATGAGAACAGTTGTAATAACCCTAAAACTGTTTCGGAAAGTGAGTGATGCACTCTGGGATATCTTTTAGGTATGAAAGTAGTAGATCTAGAACACGGGTGTCAAACTCAATTACATTGAGGGCCGCATCAGGGTTGTGTTTGACCTCAGGGGGCCGGGGTTGGTGTGGCCGGGGTGGGTGTGGCCAGCTCAATGTCACTCGTGTCAGAGGCATCTGTGGTGACCCCAGTACTCTGCCAGCAAAAACAGGCTCCTGAGCTCCATTTTCAGCTGCAACAGCCTCCTGCAACCCTCTGCCAGCAAAAACAGAGCTTGCGCGGGCTGCCCGTGGCCCTTGCAAGCCCATTTTTGCTGGCAGTGGCACCATGGGCCAGTCCTTACAGGGTGATCTCATGGGCTAGATCTAAGCTCCCCACAGGCTGGATCTGGCCCCCGGGCCTTGAGTTTGACACCCCTGATCTAGAAGAAAAAGATGTACTTCAGAAACCTGTTTTACATTTTTGCAAACATGTTCCTTGATGTATGTTGTTAACACATGTATATGTGTATGAGCATGTTATATGCAATTTATTTCTTATTTTGCACATTTTTAGCATTATAGTATTAAAAATGGAGGATTTGGTAAATATGATATGAGGTTCTGGTAAAACAGGAGCAATCAAAGTAGCTGTATATATATGTGAAGGTTTCTTTGGAAGACTTGCTGATCATCTGACTTGGGAGTCTTAGCTCTCTGTGGAATGTGCTTCCTGGACTTCTTTCTCAGTATCTATTGTCTGTTTCTCCTCTGGCATCAGCTCCAAATCTGGGACTCTTTCTCCACTTCGAGCCACTGTGAATCTATTCATATGTATCGCATCCTCATAAATTGGGGGAGGCTCTGTTCGAGCAGGGTGATGCACTGCTGGCACTCCACTGTGGGAATGTGCTACTGCTAGTATTCTCCTTGCACCTGGGCCAAACATGGAATGGAAGGCTGAAAGGGAAAATACCAGGAGTATTTAGGTTAAAACAAACATTACAACTATAGTACAACCAATTATAACTAATAGTACATTACAACTAAAACCCCAGTAATGATTAAGGGTAGAAATTATTCTCACGTGTTGATTGAGTGATTGACTATATACCGTACTATTAAAAGAATTGTACAAAAGTGCTCACTGAATTGAGAAGCAGTTTTAATTCTTTGTTGAAGAGACCATCCTTTTGAAATTCTGCAAAATACTAATACATTACCATATAGCTTTAAAAAATAGATAATGTCAGATCCCTATAAGTGACGCTGCCATTCAGTTGGGAGAAGGGGGGCCCCTTGGATTCAATTTATTAGCATTGCCTGTGTCAACAGATATTTTACAATCTATATCCTGGTGCCAAAGCGCCCTGAGATCCCTCAGGGTGCTTAACTTTGGGGAATGTTTATGATGGCCATGTGGGCTGTTTCATTTTAAAGGATAATGGAGGATAGCGACAGGAATACATGCTTATCCGGTTCTCAGGGCAGCTGGTAAAGAAAACATCTTCACACTTGTGTATTGGCTAAAATCTGCATTCTGGCTAAAGGGAGGGGTCTCTACTGCTTTAATCCTACTTGTCTTGCCTAAGGGTATTCATATGTTGCTTTGAATCCATTGCTGTCACTTCTGCTAAATAAAAGTTCCTTTTGAAAAAATGCGTTTCAAGAGTTTTTACTTTCTTAAGTTGGAAGGAGAGGCAATCCTTACAGATAACATGCTATGTAAAATACATTAAAATGTTTAAAAATTTATACTATCATGCTTAATACCATACTATTTCAGACTTACTCATAGTATGAAAATGACTCTTACAAAACAAAACCAAAAGCAACAGAAAGAAAATATTTTTTTATAATGAAAGAGAAAAAAATGGAATTGAAAGAGGTGAAAAACTGTATTGCATACTATGAATGTTCATAGACTGGAATAGGTGACAGGTCAGCCAATGAATAGGCATAGCAACTAAGTCAGCCATTGAGGACTGTTTGGAAACTGAAACATAGTAGCAATAGCAATAGCACTTACATACCACTTCATAGTGCTTTTACAGCCCTCTCTAAGTGGTTTTACAGAGTCAGCATATTGCCCCCAACAATCTGGCTCCTCATTTTACCCTTCTTGGAAGGATGGAAGGCTGAATCAACCTTGAGCGAGTGAGATTTGAACACTCTAATCACTGCGCCACCTTGGCTCATTTAGTATTTGTTTGTATGGGGCCATAAGAGACAGTTTGGAGTCTGGGCATGCGCTCAAAAGCCTGATTGGGCTTATTATCTGGGGAGGTCTTATTTTGGGGAAAACAGGGTATATAATTTGAACCCTTTGAAATTATTTAATTGTGTGTCTGATTGTGTGTGCTGCAACAAACTCTTGACAGGTTATGGGCTCAGAGCACACCAGACACAGAAAGACTGAACTGTAATTAAACTGAGAGACTGCCTGTGTTAACAGAGAGACAAGGCAGAAAAGGCTTGCAGGATGGTTGTTGAATTTAAGGAGAGCTTTCTGCCTTGTTTGGGACAGAATAATTATATTTTTTGGGCTGCAAAGATGGAATGTTTCCTGAAGGCTAAGGAGCTCTGGGATATTGTTGTTAATCCACCCCAGGGGCCAATGGCAGCTGCAGATCAGAGGCTGCATGATAAAGCAATGGCCTACATCCAGTGGTGGGATTCAATTTTTTTAACAACTGGTTCTGTGGGCGTGGCTTAGTTGGGGGTGTGGCTTGGCGGTCATGTGACTGGGTGGGCGTGGCTAGCTGGTCATGTGACTGGGTAGGCGTGGCTAGCTGGTCATGTGACCGGTGGGCGTGGCTATCTGCATAGGGACTACAGAGGGCTGAAAAAAGTCATTTCTGACTGGTCCTCGCACTTATGACCATCCTCACATTTATGCCCATTGCGGCATTCTTAACAACCGTGTCACTCATTTCACAACTGCTTCTCTTCATCATGGTGACAAGATAGGGCAAAAAATGTAAAATGTGAGGACAGTCGTAAGTTCGAGGACTGGTCAAAAGTGTGAGGACCAGTCAAAAATAACTTTTTCAGCCCTCTGAGTAGTCCATATGCACAAAAGGACTACCCAGAGGGCTGAAAAAAGTGATTTCTGACTGGTCCTCGCACTTTTGACCGGTCTTCGCACTTATGACTGGTCATCATTTATGCCCATTGTAGCATTCTTAACAACCGTGTCACTCATTTCACAACTGCTTCTCTTCACCATGGTGACAAGATAGGGCAAAAACGTAAAATGTGAGGACAGTCGTAAGTTCGAGGACTGGTCAAAAGTGCGAGGACCAGTCAGAAATAATTTTTTCAGCCCTCTGAGTAGTCCATATGCATAAAAGGATACAGCAATAGAGAGGGATGAAGGAAGGGAAGGGAAATTAGAGTAGGAGTGAGGGTAAGAGAGGGAGGAAGAGAGGAGGAGCAGGAGAAAGGAAGAGGAAGTAGGGAGGAGAAGAAGAAGGGGAGGAAGAGAAAATAAGAAGGAAAGAAACGAGAGAGGTGGTAGGTTTGAGGAGAAAGATTGCTGTACAATAAAAAAGATGAAAGGAAGAAAGCCAACCCCAAACAAATATAAAGATATTAAGATAAAGAATGAATTGTTAAACTTTAAAGAATAAAAGAGAACAAATATGAATAAATAACAATAATTAGAAACACACATACAAACATACAATGTATTTTCTTTGGACAGAGTATTTGGCCGGTTCACAAATTTAAACAGTGTTTAGTCATTTCAATTAAATTTACAATTTCTATATTTCCTTTTTGCCATATTTATTCCTCATCTATTTTTGTAAAAAACCAATATTACCCTTCATCTTCATCTCTAATCTTAATCAAATTCAATTTTTCCCTTCTATTCTATATTATACCCCTTCCCATTGTCATCTACTTTTATATCCATCCTCACATTGGTTAATGATGTAATATTACAGTTGTTTAATATAAATTCAACATTTTAATATTTATTATTTATTTTATTAATCGAACTTCTATACCGCCCTTCTCCTTTCAGACTCAGGGCGGTGAATAGCCAAAATAAAAACATTTATACATAACATTACAGTTAAAAATAGATTTAAAATAATTACATAAATTTGGCCCGTAATTTAAAACTTGTCAATATAAAATCCGTATCAAAATTTTAAAACCAACTATAAAATCAAGACAGACCAGCTAACTGAAAAAAGTAAGTTTTTAGGGCCCGACGAAAAGTCCGGAGGTCGGAGATCTGGGGGTAGATTGTTCCAAAGGGTAGGTGCCACCACAGAGAAGGCTCTCCTCCTGGGGGTCGCCAGCCGACATTGTCTGGCTGACGGCACCCTGAGGAGGCCCTCTCTGTGGGAGCGAACCGGCCGGTGGGAGGCTATTGGTGGCAGAAGGCGGTCCCGTAAGTACCCCGGCCCTAAGCCATGGAGCGCTTTAAAGGTGGTCACCAACACCTTGAAGCGCATCTGGAAGTCCACCGGAAGCCAATGCAGCTCGCGCAGGAGAGGAGTCACATGGGAGCGCCCCGTCGCTCCCATAACCCCCGCGCGGCCGCATTCTTCACCAGTTGGAGCCTCCGGGTGTACCCCAAGGGGGGCCCCATGTAGAGAGCGTTACAATAGTCCAGACGAGAGGTGACGAGTGCTTGAGTGACCGTGGGTAGGGAGTCCCGATCCAGAAAGGGGCGCAACTGGCATATCAGGCGAACCTGATAAAAAGCCCCCCTGGCCACGGCTGTCATATGCTCTTCTAAAGACAGCCGTGCGTCCAGGAGGACACCCAAGTTGCGGGCCCTCTCCGTGGGGGCCAATGATTCGCCCCCAATAACCAGTGATGGTGTCAGCTGGCTATACTGGGACGCCGGCAGCCACAGCCACTCCATCTTGGAAGGGTTGAGTCGAAGCCTGTTTCTCCCCATCCAGACCCGCACGGCCTCCAGGCACTGGGACATCACTTCCAAGGCATCATTGGGATGATCTGGGGTGGAAATGTACAGCTGAGTATCATCAGCATACTGATGGAACTCCACCCCAAAACCACGGATGATCTCACCCAGCGGCTTCACATAAATGTTGAACAGAAGGGGCGAGAGGACCGACCCTTGTGGCACCCCACAAACAAGGCGCATTGGGATCGACCGCTGCCCCCCTGTCAACACGGATTGCGACCGGTCGGAGAGATAGGAGGAGAACCACCGCAAAACGGTGCCCCCACTCCCAGTCCCTCCAGCCGGCGCAACATGATACCATGGTTGATGGTATTAAAAGCCGCTGAGAGGTCTAATAGGACCAGGATAGAGGAATAACCCCTATCCCGGGCCCTCCAGAGATCATCCACCAACGCGACCAATGCCGTTTCCATGCTATACCCAGGTCTGAAGCCGGACTGGAGCGGATCCAAATAGACAGCTTCATCCAGGTACTGGGGAAGCTGTCGCGCCACCACACTCTCAACAACCTTCGTAATAAAACAAAGATTGGAGACTGGACGATAGTTAGCCAAAACAGCCGGATCCAGGGATGGCTTCTTGAGGAGAGGCCTCACCACCACCTCTTTCAAGGTGGCTGGCAGGACACCCTCACTCAAAGAAGCGTTGATAATCCCCTGGAGCCAGCCTCGTGTAACCTCCCGGGAAGCCAGCACCAACCAGGAGGGACATGGGTCCAATAAACATGTGGTCGTGTTCAGCCGTCCCAAGATCCTGTTCACATCCTCGGGAGCCACAGGATCGAACTCCCAGATAACACTCTCAAGGCCTGCCTCAGTCATCTCGTCTGAACTAACCCAGTCGGCGGCCAAGTCTTCCCGAATCTGAGTTATTTTATCATACAGATACTGTACAGAATCCTCAGCTCGGCCCTACAAGGGGTCCTCCCACGCTCCCAGATGGAGAAGGGAGCGGGTCACCCTAAACAGGGCAGCTGGGCAATTATCTGATGATGCGATAAGAGTGGCAA